ACATTTGAAAGAAGATATAATTTTTATTATGATGGTTTACAGTTTGATATGTACTTATATTATCTACTTTACTGGTTATATTTTAGGTCTTTTTATTCTTGCTATTTATGTCCTTTTGATCTGTCTTGAATTAGGAAAGGTATATTAAAATATTCTCTTTTCATGTATATACTTCAATGTCTATAGTTCAGTGCATCCTCTGTACAGTCTGCTTTGTGAACATTATTATTGGATGTATAAATATTAATGACTGTTACATTTTGCCTTTAGGCAAAACAGAAAAGACTGTTACTTTTTGCCTTATAAAGATATAAACAGGACAAATATTATCCCCCATTCTACATATACAATGACTAGTTCCCAGCAATGTTTGGTGGCTTGTCCATATTCACACAGCTATTAAATGTTCTCACCTAATCTATATTCACACAACCATTACATGTTCTCTCTAATCAAAGGTGGCTTCTCTTTTGCATCTGCTGAAAAACAGAATTTTATTCAGGGCTAACTGAGCATATATTCACTCCTCTGCTGACTTTCTGCCGTCTTGAACAGAGAAATTATCAGTGAATACTTTGTTCAATTACTCTAGGATTGTTGTAAGAATTTCTTATTGCTGCTCGTACAAAAGTAAAAGTCACTGAAATAATTATGAACAGAAAAAGTACTTAAACATTGTAATGAAACTGCTCATATTGTTGAAGATCTATAACTCATAGGAGACACATATCAAAAGAAGAAATAAATTTATCAATAAGTAAACAAGCCAGATAAATGTGTCTGTGAGTGTGTGTATGTGTGTATCCCAAGATTTACACAGTAAGAACTTTTACTCCCAGCTGAGATGTAAATAATTTGTATGAGAAATAAATAAATCCTGATTGAAAGTCCCTGGACCTTGGTTGTTCTAGAAATTGCCATCATAAGACTTTCCCTCACCCATTTGCCCTAGGGATTTTCCAACAGATAATTTTCTCTCTTTTTTTAAAAATATTTTGAAGTTTATTTATTTTGAGAGGGAAAGAAGGAAGGCACAGCAGGGGAGGGGCAGAGAGGGAGGGAGAGAGAGAGAATCCCAAGCAGAATCCACACTGTCAGCACAGAGTCCGATGCGGAGCTCAAACTCAAGAACGTGAGATCATGACCTGAGCCCAAGTCAGATGCTTAACCGGCTGAGCCACCCAAGCACCTCCAAGAGATAATTTTCTAGTCCAATAATCATAAAATTGAAATTTATTAAAGACATTAATCAACAGGCTTTTGGTCCCACTCCCACCTTGGAGTGACACTCAAGAAGACTCCAGGTGAAGAGTGAGAGGAAGAGAAGAAGTAACAAATCCTGAAGGACCTATCATAAAGGGGATGGTGCAAGGGCAGGTTGAGAAAATACCATTATCTTTCACACTTACTCTTCCTTCTTGGTACTTGGCAACTGAAGGCATGAATGAATTCATAATGATCCAAAATATAGACTTAACATGTACCTTTTATTCATCTTTTAATCAAGGCCTTATCTTTTTATGGGGTGGATAGAAGGTGT